ATAATCAGTGACTTTTAAATTTTCTTGTAACCTTCTCCTGACCTGTGCTTCTCTACCACTTTATCACTGACTTGTTTGGAAAGCTCCTTGGTCTTCATGGTTTGTTTCTTGCATCACTATGCGAGTTGTGCCTTGAACAGACATTTACTCTGAAGTCAAGTTAAACCACTTTGATTGCACACAGACAGAGACCATTATAATAATTTTGTGACCCTTCAAACTAATTTTTTGCAAGTGAACTAATTTAGAGTTGTCATAGCAAAGAGGTTGAATACTTATGAAATTGAAAATATTCTAATATTATTTGAAAATCTAACTTACTTACATAATATCAGCATTTGTATTTTAGCTTTCTCAGTTTGGAGTAGATTGTGTAGATTCTAAATATAAAGTACCATTCATGATTGCAAACTCAGATGGCAACAAAATGTAGAAACTTTGTATGGGGGTGAATACTTTTGCAAAGCATTGTATTTCTTTTGATATATTATTTGCCTCTTGCAGTGGTCACCACTTTTGGTTATTAATAATAAAAACATGGAAAAAACTAAAAATAAGTTAATCTTGAACTAGGTCCTCACCTTTGAAAATGGTGTCATCATTATTACCGTGATGCTAGATATTGTGATTTAGGTCAACAATGTTCTTGGTTAAGAGCAATTTATCTATACTTAATATAGTTTCTTTTCAATAAATAATAAATCATTTTATTTGTGTGCATTGTTTGAATACAATAAACTTAACAAAAATATTCAACAAATAATGAATTGAGTCAACTAAATAATTTGCTTTCCATACTCATTAAACTTCACTATGCTTAACAGTTGTCTTTTCACAGAAGATAATTTCTGTAGTCTTCAAACAGGTATCATTTAACATAAAACCATTTTCGGGAATGAAAAGAATTTCTAAAGAAACTATAAAAATCTTCCCAGAACCTAAGTCTTCTAAACTTCCTATTTGATTCCTTTGTTCATCCCTACAGTAGCTCCAACTGGTATCTTAAGAAATAATGAGTAATTGCTCAAACCACTTTATACACTCTACATTCATGTAAATAGTTTCTAATCTGCTCTATACAACGTTATTTAAACATTGGTTACAGCTATTTTCATGCTGAGCTTCATTAGCAGATGTTCAAACCACATACTGTGACACCATAAAAGGATGACAAGGAAGGACTGAAGTAATTAAACCACTAGCAGAAAAAGAAAATAATGTGTGAAATAAAACAAGAATTATTACCTTATCAATGACTACTAGTTTCTTAGCAAATGCAAATCTACACTTTGAGATGGGCAGAAAGATTCTAAGAAAATTGGTAAACATCTTCTTTAATAGGCAAGTCTCCTTAGAACAACACAGAAATGAAATATTACTTTTTTAATTCTTCTTTGTAAATTACATTAAATAAGTTTTGAGTTAAAAAGCATTCAAATACAGTTAAATTATTATTTCTACTTAAATTTTATATGCAGATGTGCACTTGAACCTGAAATTTAGCCCCTGGCAAATAACCATTAAAGAGTATACATGTATTGTTTTTTATAAAATCTTTTAAACTAAGTTTCAACTTACCACTGATAGAGAAATCTACTGAATTCACACCAAAGATGATACTCTGCTTAGAGTAAACTGCAACTTCCCGATCAGCCCTTAGATCAAAAAGTCGGCACTAACAAAAACAAAAATCATTAAATAGAAAAACTCCATCTTATGTACCTTTACAACTAAGATATATTAATTCATTTGATTTGTCAATACAAAATATAAAACATATGACATGCATATACCGTGCATAATCAAATTTACACCAAAAACAGCATGGCTGTAAAAAAAGAATGGCCAAGAAAGTTAACTGTTATACAAACAGCAACTAAAAGAATTGATATCAGAATGCAACCAACGCAATCAATATTGTTGGATACATCGTTTAAAATTGCTTGATAAAAAAAGTAAACTCTATATGATTATGCGTATATAGGTATTGACAAAAAAAATAGCCAATTGACAAGCAACTCATACTTGTGCTATCATTTCTACAATTGACAAACATGATAACAAAATAATTATAAACCAAGTACAGAGTTTACTTTTTTTTAGCAAGCAATTTTAAACTATGTATACATTAATACTCTCTTGATAAAAGAGTTAGCAAAAAGGATCACACATAAAGTGTAATAAACTTAAAATAAGACCCAAAACTCGAGCACTTTCGAATAGTTGACTATTCTTCTTCAGGAGAACAAGGAAGAAGAAGGATAGTCAACTATTCAAAAGTGCTCAAGTTTTTGGTCTTATTTTAAGTTTATACAATAATACTGATTGCCTTAGCCATATTCTGATATCAAAGTCTTTAGTCACTGTTTGTATAACAAATAGCTGTTTTTGGTTTAGATATCAATTTTTTGTGTGAAATACATATACCATTGTTATACATGTATTTAACAAGAAAAAAAATCCTTGCGAATGTTAGCACTAGGCACACACAACAAGTTAATATCACATTTCAATAGCGAGTAACACTCAAAACTTGGACAAATCTGGCCAAAGTTTGCCAGCCAGCGAAAAACACTTGCAGAGTTTGTATATTAGTAGGTACATATGAATATACTGTGGACAGTAAATACACACCCCTCGCACAGAATAGTAAATAATACTGGAATACAAGCAAGTCCTATGATTATATAGCAAGCACGAGCTACAGTGATGCATGAGTATATAAATAAATGTATTAGCTTGGACATAAAAGTAATGGCTGTGAACAAACAATTAAAACTCACAAGTCTCGTGTGTTTACACAGGAAGCCAGTCTAAACTCCATCCACTGGCATAGGCGATTTAAAACTTTATAAGCACTTTACAACACTACTTGTCAGAAATCTATGAAATTTTGCATAAAACAAAAGTAATGGTATTGTTTATCCCTGTAAAGTTTAAAGGAAATTTAAATTCTAGATTTTGGCCATGTGGAGCACGAAACTTATTGTTTCGATCCACAAGCACTACTACTAGTAGAGTGAACATGATAGAGGTGCTGATAATAATTTCAAAGCAACTGAACAAAGTTTCAGATGATAGCTGAGTTTTGAAAATTAAACAAGCACGGTATAAAAATAAAATGGATGTGTGAAAATGAACAATATGGTCAGATTCAACTAGGATATGTCTCGGCAATGGTTTCATTTCATTTTCTATGTGCTAACTACTAATGTCTTGATGGTTTACAGTCTTGAATAGCTAAAATGCAGCTATTAAAATGGGTGAGTTTCACGGGGGCCAATTTTTTACACAATCACATCATGTAAAAACTCTCTTATTAGTGGCTTCATGTTAGCTTACTTTTTCCTTAGCTGTGCAACTCACTATTGTGAGTCTTGATTACTAGATACCTTTAATAGACATTGTTCATGAAATAACTATATCTTTTCCAAAACTAAATGACCCATGCTTTGTGTTCTTAAGCAAATAATGTACCAAAAATTTAATATGATAAACTTAACTGAATATTGAAACTGACCTATTCCTGACCTTGTATTAGGTCGTCAAGAAATTAATGTCACTTTTTTTTCTGCAGATGGAGTCCAGGTTTTGGGGTCGGAAGTGGTTTTTCTCTAGGACTGAGCCATTGTATTTGGCATTTAATATTCACATAGAAAATCCATTTTTCATCACCAGTGACAATTCAGTCCAAAAATAGTTTATTTGCACTACGCACCAGAAGAGACGAAGCAACATTTACATATTGGAAACGATGATCATCAGAGAGTTTGTGAGGCACCCAAAACACCTTCTTTAAGGAGTTTTCCCATATTCATTAGATGTTTACGTATTGTTTCATGAGCGACATGTAATTTCAGGGCCATTTCACAAGTGTGTTACCTTGGGTTAGAATCAACAAGCGTCTTCAGAGCATCAATATCAATTCCAACATGTCGGCCCTTGCCACCACAGTTTTTAAGGTTAAAGTCACCCGAACGAAATTTTCTGAACCATAGTTGACACGAACGTTCAAACATTTCCATAACTTCTTTGGCAACAGTGGCGTTGTTTCCCCTCTTGTATTTAAACAGCATTACATGCCGAATATGTGTCTTGTCGTGTGCCATCACTATAAGGGATTAGACTATACTAAACTTTAAACATTATATAAGCTACACTAATGTGGCGTTTAGGCAGTTCATGTAACTATTATAAGTAATGTACGTTTTTTGGGGTGTGGTTAATGAAAGTATTCCAAAATGTGACATTAATTTCTTGACGACCTGATAATAAGAACCACAGAAATACTCCATGTACAACATAACAGGATTTGAGAAAAACAGACATGTCAATTATAATAATTTTTTCCTTAAATAATTTATTGGTAACTCTAACCAAAGCAACATTAAAATAGTTATAACACTGTATAGTTTCTAATATATATTAGCTATTCCTGCCTAAATGTGTATTATGCAGCAAAGCTTCTGGGTGATATTCACAAATACCTTTTACAGCCCCCTGTAAAAAAATTACATGATTCTGTTTCTATATGTCACAGGTGAGATTTAGAAGGAATGAAAACAAGGTAATTATAACCTCCAGTGATCCTGTTGCTATCTGTATTCATAATGCTTTGATTAGTCTCGGCCCAGTGTTCTGACATGTGTGAACTATACTTTTGTCTGTGATATTGTACAGTTCATTAAAAACGTTTCATTGAAGTTATTCAAAAAAATGTGATACTTTATCAATTTAAAATAACACATTTATTAACTGACACTTTTAAAATGTATTTCAAACAGTTTAACCATTACATAATAACTTCTATGAGAAGAGCTTTAAAAAGTCTACAATAACATTTCAAATTAATAATAAAGTCTTAATTGGGACCTAGTGTGAAGTGATGAATCTGATGAGAAGGGACACAAAATAGCCTATGATCATCCACCCCCAAACAGGTGTAGCCCAGATGGATGAGTTAGTAGATCCATCCTGTAAGGGTGGTATGACAGAAATCTCTAGTAGAGGGGCCCCCACACTATGAAAAAAAATGGTGAAAGAAACCCCAAAAAAGAAGGAAGTTTGTGATAACTAACAATGAACAGCCCATACAGGACACAAGAGTCTGTCCGGATCCAAACAATTATAGAGGTGAGATATAACAGGAAGGGATATGGGAGAAGAGGTATGAACACATTCCCTAGCTGCAGAAGTCTTGGGAAGGAAAGATCAGTTGAGATAAAGGAGTAAATGAGTGGAAGGGATGGGAGCAGGGCACCTCAGCTGCATAATGGATCCCACCACACAATAGCTGTCAAGTCTTCTACAAATAAAGAACTTTCAGTAAAAATGATGGTAGTTTGTCCTGTGTGAAGAAATTCTTCACCCACATCAAAACTAGTAGTATAATTAAACTCAAAACTAGTAGAATAGTAAAGTTGAAAATCTCAGCAAAACTGGAACACGTCAGTGCACAACAGTGTGGAGGAAAAGAATGAGAATTCATTAGCATGAGATGTATGTGGAGTCATTGCACTTGGTGGTGTGTCACACTCTTATTAGTGGAGGGTTCTGCTACATAATGACATCATCATGCAGTGGCACAGATCTACGTGGTTTCACACGTAAAATTAAGTTGTAATTTTCACAAGGATGGTGACTTGCAAATCTATTTGGTAGAATACATTAATACATGGGGAGTAAAACTGATGTGTGTGTGGAAGTGAATACTTGTTTCAGAATTTAGCTTTGTAAGTCCATAAACTTATTGCTGTCTCAACAGTGGACCATAAGCTACTAAAATTAAAAACTTAGAAAGTAGTAGATTGAATAAAAACTCCATGAACAAGAATTAAATGAAAAAATACACAAGACCAACACATGTTAACAGCATCAGATGATCATAACTGACAGCAATTTGATTGGTTATTTATATTAAGTTCTGCTACATTGGTTAATTGACCATCATTTTGTTACAGGGGTCTAAAAAAACACTGTAAAGTAATAAAATTAAAAGAAAACACATGTGAAATGTTGAGAAAACTGAAGCTGTGCTAGGATAACAATTGTAACTGTCTGTTACATTCTGCATTTATTTTTAAAAAGTCATATTCATCATTCAATTTGATATCTTTCAATATTTTGTCTCACTGTTTTTGCTACAGCTGGTGTTAGGGTAAAGAAAATAACACAAAGTATATATTTTTTCCCCAAAAAAACTTGATATTCGCTTATGTTTTATACATCATTCATATGAAATATGAAATGACGAAAAGTATTTTTATTCTTAGCATGAAAATTACTGTCTACTCAGCATGACTCAGTAAAGGGTTTGTAAATTCACAGCCAAATCTTTAGTAAAACTTCTTTACAATGTACAACATACATGTAATTTTTAATAAAAGCTTGCCAAATTTCATGAAGATACATTTAATACATTCAGATTTATAGTTCATATAGTTTCATGGTGGTTACAAGGTTAGTCAAAATGATTGAGCCCAAATACAGAGTTAAGCTATGTTTGCAAGATCTAATGAGCAGTCATTTTTGTAACAGCTCCTTTTAGAAATTTTAAATAAATATTTGTTTTGTTCTATGAATTTTTACTCTGCCACTGTGATCCTCACATATGTTTCATTGAGCTGTTGACCTGTGCAACTTGAAATTAGTGCAGATTTCTAGTATTATAAATACATACTGTTTGTAAAGGGTTTTAACTACATAACATAATAAAAAACACTGTTCATTCATATGATTAATAGAAGAAAGTAAAGGGCAGTTGACTTATTCTTGTTTAATCATCAGTTTCCAATTTAATGCTAATTCCATTACATCATGATTACATTGATGTAATTATTTGCATGCAGTTCTACTCCAATCTCCTGAACAAGTGATTCAATCTCAACTTTTTGTTTGTTCATAAAGCACTTGAATTATTTTTTTACCTTAGAAAATAACAATGAGATCCATACCCTATGATGCAACTTCTTTTCTGTCACTGAGCAACCTTTTCAAAGAACCACCTGAAGTGAGCTTATGAACCACAGGTTGAAAATTACTTTCCTAGATGAAGTATCATAGGGTTATGTTTTTAATTATTTTCCCATATATATAATTGTTTTTAAACATAAAGAAAACATTGGAGTGACCACTGAGACTGCCATCATCTTTTCCACTGACTGTGAATTTCAATGCTGTAGAAAATACAGACAGTTTTCTGTTAATTTTCTTGCTTAATTCTAATTCCATCAAGCAACGTTGGTAAGAAACATAATGTATTTTACTTACAGTGGAATCATCAGATCCTGTAGCTATAGCATCTCCACTTGGATAAAACTTCACAGTGTTAATGTCTGACTCATGACCTTCAAAGGATTGCACACACTGGCCAGTTCTCATGTCCCAGAGAAGAGCCTGCCGATCACAGCCCTGGTGAAAAAAAAAGTACATTTTAAAGAAAGAGTTTAGTTCGGGTAATGTTTTAAACACCTTAAAATGTACTTTGTTTTCAATACAAGCCACTTGTCATCTTTAAGGTTTAAACATAATGCATGCAAACTTGAAAACAAATGTAAAGATAGCATTGTTAAGATATGATCAACTGATGTTAAGTTATATAAATCTTAAATATTTGACTTCATTTTTGTAAATGTAAACTCTAATAAGACAACAAAAACTATTTTCCTGATTAGATTTAGGGTAAAAGTCCCCTAACAGATGGTGATTCAATCTCTCTTATTTATATCACCATTGCAAATCTACATGACATTTTTTTAAATAGGTAACAGAAATAATTAGAAAATGGAAAAAGATGATTACAAGCTTTTCTGGTAATAATCCTTATAAATTATTAATGCACACACAAGTGGAACCCACAATTATAAATATATATATTATCAGCTTTGCAGTCAGTACAAATGATAAAACATAATAATACATGAATATGAGCATATACAATAGCATTCTCTACATTATCATAAAGAATAGGAACATAATACTTATAACTTCTTACCGCAGACACAAAAGTATTGCCTGTCTCTGATGGACACAAATCTAAGCTCATTACATCACCCCCATGACCATGGAAACTTTGAAGTAACTGAGCACATTCTACATCCCACAGAGCGCATGTACTGTCACCACTTCCTGTTAGAATCTGAGGAAAAACACATATTATAATAAAAAAAAAGTTTAAAATGAACTATAACTGAAGCTTTTGCAACCTAAATGTAAGATCTCATGTACAAGACTAATATTAACAATTGAATGTGACAGAGACTGAACAATTATTTATATTTTTTTAAAGACCAATATTCTGTATTTTGTACCTCAAGACACTGTGATTAAATTACTACCTGTATAAGCTAAGTTTCTGGGCAACTAGCTAATTCTAGAGAATTTTATTTTGGAGTTATCTTAGTCTGTTGCTTTAACACATTACACTGCAAATTTTACCAATTTTTGATTTGTGGACTATTCGGCTTAAAATTAAGAATGTGTTTGTTTCTAAATTATATATATATTTAGTTCAAAATTAAATTTAAAATTATGAAAGCACTTAACTCTAAACTATTGTTTTACCAAATCTTTAATGTCAAACTTTAGTTTATACACTGAGTAGATTCTTTTATATATGTGCTTTATAACCATTTAATGTTTGAACTGGGTAGAGGGAAACTTCTCATCCATCATTAAATCTAAATTTTAAAGTAGAAAAACTGTAAGAAACAAAAGTGCACACTCATATCAATAATTACATCAAACATTTTCCAACATGTGAAGAAATGTATCAATGAAAGATTAACACCATAACTTTATCATTCCAATTGTATTTTTACAATTTTAAAACACTTAGTTAAAAAAACATTTCTTAAGTTTGAAATAACAACCTTAGCAGAATTATAAAGCAATTTTTTTGATATAAGCCATTAGATATTTTAAAAACGTTTAAATACAAATCATAAAGTACAGAACAAAGTCAAGTCATTTTCTTATATGAATTTTAATGATCAATCATTAGTTTCATAACAACCACTAATATAATACTAATGTAATTAGGTTTTAAATTTGTGAAACTTTTAAAAAATACAATTCAGTATATGTGCAATTATTATCTGATAAAATTTAGGGATCTTTAAAGAAATCCGTGCTTCTTTTCAATATTTATTTCAAAACTGGATGATTACAGAAATATTTTAAACACGTTTCTTTTGTTATGACAAACAAATTTAATTTCTTCAGCCTTAAACTAATGCAATCATATGGTGTGTACAACAAAATATGTCATCACATAAACTTTTAATCTGAACTAAATAGTTAAAAATAATTAAAGGATAGTTAAAATTTGAAATAGCTATGACAAGACAAAATAATAGTGTGAAATAATGCTAATCCTCCTCTTCCTCAGTCCATGATTATGAAAATTAGGTATCTAATAATCAGTCATGTGATCTGAAGTACAATTCTCTCATAGTCATTGTTTTGAAAATAATGACAAAGTTCATAGTACTCTAACTTATTCATAAACTATGGCTAGACCTCTGACAAGCCATTAGGAAATTTTATGCCTTGAAGAAGAGATTGTTTGAATAAAAAGAACTTCACACATTTACCAGAATTCTCCTTCAACAAGCATGTAAATGACACACATTGGGAGACACACCACACTGCATCAAGTGATTCCAGATATAATAACATCTTTAAGACAGATCTTTCAGAGAAATGGTAAATTACAACTCGGGATCATATTATAAACTCTGGTTTTCAGCATACAATTTTGGTCTCAGGCTGCTCTTGCTGTTCAAGGTGGCCATGCTCCATACTGATATGAAATGCCATGAACTTTTAAATTACATCTACCTAAGGTTCATTTGCAAGTAAAGGCTGAATAACCAACCACAGTAGAGCTGGGTGATTTAATCAATTAACCAAAATTAATGTTTCCGATTATCACCATTTTCTATTATTCCAAGTAATTGAAAAATTGTAAGTATGCTGTTATTAAGTACAAAGCCTTATGACTGAATATCTGAGCTCCGATCAATTTTAGACTTTTAAGTTTTATTTTCTTTTACTTCAAGTTTGTTCAGCTTTAGTGATTTTGGGGGTGGAATGGAGTATGATTCAAAAGTCTCGGGTTGCATACACTGTTTTTGTTATGACAAAAGCTACAAAGGATATCTGCCACTATCACTAACCTTGAACTACTAACCAGAGGGAAGGTGACTGTCTGGCAGCAAACACTAACAACTTCATTTTTGAACTGCTGAATAGAGGGAAGACAACTAGATGACAGCATCACAGCATTTACCATCAATTCTTTTTTGCTTTCTCTTATTTACCATGATTTGTGGAACACTACTAATTGATTAATCAAATGTATTTGCTGAATGTCATCATCAATTAATCAATTTACAAAACCCACTAATCGCCTAACTGTAGTAATAGGCATTTCAGATTGCACAACTGGTCATCAAATGCCTGATTTACATAGAAATTAGTTGAAGGGTTTAATGATATTTTATAAAAGTATTTTTTGCCTTGTCATAACAAAAAATTAAAATTCCAAATATCTTTTAAATGTTTTGAGTGGTGCATGTTTAAATAATTTAATAGTTTCTTGTAATTAATAATCACATTCTCATCTAAAATGCATTAATTTCCAAATCATGTGTATGAGTCATACATGCAAGCACTACAAAAAATAAATAAATCTACCATATTCCACAAGTAACAGTAATTAAGATTGTTCTAGTTCACTTTTTACACATGTAATAATGTATAAATAGTATATTAATTCTTACTTGTTGGTCTGAATTAGGAAATAAGCAGCAAGACATGTAACTTGTATGAGTTCCTATTGCTCTTTTCTTACTGGATGCATCTTCTTCAAAGCTCAGGGGATAAACAGTTACTTTATTGTCCAGGCCTCTATATGTAACAAATATATACCAAATTATTGTCCCATTCTGACTTTTTAGACTGGGGCAGTCATTCTTCAGAAAACATAAAAGGACAATGATGATAAAGACCAATGTATAACACAATTCAACATATATATATATATATATATATATATTAGGTCGTACTATGTGCCAGAGAATAAATAAACATTTCTTTTTTAATTAACATCATATTGTTTTTTTACAAAACCTAAAGTCAAGATCTATTTATAGTTGTCCTCATTGTATTCATCCTAAAGTAGTCACAGCATTAAGAATATTTATCTTTATGACCTATATAACATAAAAAAATAGGAAAGATACATGTGATCATTTTAATGGCATTAATGAAAACTAGACAGCTGATCAACAGCACTGACAAACAATCATTAAACTTACCCACAAGCAACCATGTTTCCTGAGGGAGCATATGCACATGCCATCACCCAAGTAGTTGGCATTGTTACTGCATGTTCCTAATTATAGTGAAAATATGTTTTAGACTTTATAAAGATATATTTAACAACATAAGTTATTAAATAAAACTGACAGGAAGAGATGAAAATCAAACAAAAGATCCTACAGTCACGTAAGACATCATTCAATTTTTATTTATTGCTATCCATTTTATAACTATTTTATCATAAGTTTAATTGAATCATGAGGAACGTTTTCCATGGTTCCTTTGCAATAAATTACATGTAACTATTTCATGATCAAAGTCTAGTTACATTACTTTAGAAAAGAACAAATACATGTAATTTGTAACTAAATAAGAGTAATGTTAAAGTAAATTTCAGTCTTAATGTGATATTCTATCAGAACTGCTACTTCACATCATTCTCTGATTTGCATTTGCTAGTTGTAGCCCTCAGTAAAACAGACATTAAAGTATGTATTTTATAATAACTACCATATAAAAACATACTCATATTTATCTAGGAAGTCAAACTTTACAAGAAAGGAAAGAATTTACTGAAATTTGGTGAAACAAAGTAAAAATTCCCACAAAGCCACTCATTTAATCTCCTGTAAAAATTAGAGATAAATGCTAACTTCCGATCAGAGCAAGCTATATACTTAGAATGAAACTAAAAGTCAACCTGGAATTCAGTATAGATATTAAACACACTGCTAGTCATAAATAATAGAATGCACTGTTTCATTAGTTGGGTACCATCACTGTTAAATATATGTTTGGCCATATTCTCTGTAATACTCATGAAGTTCAGCTAGCTAAGGAGATCTAGGTTAGTCCTAAATACATATATTAACAACAGAAAACAATCTCAATAGCAAAAAGTATAATATTAATATAAAAAAATGGCACTAAATATAATAAATAGTACAACCACTATGTTAATGAAAGCTACAATTAATAAATGATGTAGTATACCTTAATCAGGGGACACAAATACTAGCTATTGGCTTGATCTACTGTCAGATAGTGAGAGTAATATGAACTGAGGCATGTTAAGAATATTTATTATTTACTAAAAAATTAGTCATGTAGAAATACAAATTACATCTATGTCATGTTGCAAATTCAAATTTCAATAATGATTACTAATTTGACTCAATACTACTACTTAACATAACAAATAACTGTGAATTGGCTGATTCCTAAGAGGATGACTTTTTCAAATTTGGAAACTCTACAATGGGATGATGGCTTATTTTGGTCAACTTACTTTTTATACACACACACAAACACATAATATTAATGCATTTGTGCAATTACACCTGCACTACTCCAAGTAAGTCATCATATTAAAATATAAACAGAAGATTCTACTCATATAGTACACTATTTTCTTCCTAAACATATAAGGACTAAAAAGTATTACTGGTACAGATGTTGCTCTTGTCATCTTGCTCAACTAATCATGTATGGAAATGAATAGTAATGGAGCATTATTATATAAATAGTTAAAGATAAATATGTAGAAATTATGCTAACTAAATTACTGTGTGCATGTATGTGTGAGTGTATATAAGTGTGTAGCTTAAATGATGCAAGTGTTAGATTTCAGTTTGTTAGCTCACTGGAACAGCAAATGCCAAAATGCCAGGACCTCAAGCTATTAAATTTGACCTTTAAAGCTCACAAATTATGGTTTGACATGTGTCTGGGAGTATACCAAAATCAAGCTTATATCTAAACATAGAAAATCAGTAGTAGCACAATGTTCAATAAAATTGTAAGTGATTTTGAAATAGTTACAATTAATTTATGCATAAGTATGCTTTGTACCAAAATTAGTTGAGTAACCAATCTGACTATTTGTCTTAACTGTTGCAAGTTTCAAGTTTTGTTTCATTAAATAACAGCACCAAAATATGGAAATTTCACAAGAGTAGGCCTTTCGAGGGAACAATTTCAAGGCATATATCAAATTTATTATAATCTAATCAAAAACACCTTAGGTGTGAAAAAAAGGTGCAGTCAAAAAAGGATTCAGTGTGCAACTTAAAGGAATGAAATCAAAACTGATGGCCAAACTAGTAGTTGTGCTTACAGGATTGATAAGAATTTTACAGCAAGTATTCATTCATTAGATAGCCAGGCCACATTTTTTGTTCAACTTTGGGCATGATGGTAGTCCCACCATTTTTTTCACACCTGAAGTGATTTTGATGAACTATCATGACTTTCTGTTAATACACACCAACAAACCACACCAAATAAGAAAGTGACACTTGACAGTGACCAACATTAGCTTTAGGATCATAACCCTATTATTCGGAACAGACCTTTACTATACAGAACCAACCAGATTCTTTAAAATATATGGTGATAGTTTTTCCTCTCTAAAACAATGTTAATAGCTTCCTTTATACTAACATCATGCAAATTTATATTAACAGTTTTCTTGTCATCATCCCATACAATCAGTACAGCCATAACAAGAATCAATATTTATGTTAATTGCTCTTTAATTAGGATAATTTCAAAAAATTTAATAAATTTGTGCTGACAAGTTGGCAATGAATAATATTATTCATATTATTATTTTGAAAACTTGAGCTAGAAACTGCTAATCTAGTTTGTTTGGCCTAATCAATACTAATGTATCTGCATGTCCTTTCACCTTATAGTTTTGCTGCTCTAAATCAGCTATCTTTATTCCGAATGACAAAAAACTGTCCACTTTTACTCTTAGGTGAAGCTGTAGTAAACATGTTAGACTGACATCTCACATAACTTTTTGCATAAGTGCGCGAAAATTTTTTGTTAAATATGAGCAGTGTTTGTTGAATAACTTTGCACATGTGGCTTATATTTACACCAAATAAAACTCCTAATTGTAGGTTGTAAAAATCTATTAATGCACCAAATTTGAAAAAATCCACAAAAGTTAAGTATGTTTTTCTATCAAATAAAGTTTCCTTACTTTTGGTGCAAAGAAAAAAAAAGGAGAAAGAAACACAATCAAAATTGGAGATGTTATATCTCAAGTATTTTTTAATGGATTGCCTTGAAATTTGGTATGTGAGTAAGAGTCCAGTACAGCACATCCACTGAAAATATGTTATAGTTTGAATCCACACAGTCCAAGCTGCAGAAGGTGGAATATCACTAAACTATCATTGCTATTAATAACATACAGTGTGTCCTGCAGGTTGTTTTTTGGGCTGCAAGACACACTACCATGTATCTTGGATCAAATGTTATATGCTCTATGTTAGAGGTGTAATGACATTTAAAACTGAAACAATTCAACAGGCAGGAACTTATTTTAGACAACTTAGTGGTTATCAACCTTTTAACCCTTTCCAAATGATCAACAAACCTTGCACTAGACCTTTGAACCTGCATTTCCCACAACATAGCACAAATACTAACTTATATTTTTATACCATCTTCTAGATTCTATGTATGATACATGCATGCATGCACACACAAATACATTAAACAATAATAAAATACATTAAAAACTAACCTTATAAAATGAAAACTAGGTTAATAAATAGTTCATGGTATAGGTAAACTTTTACTGCATGAAACATGTGCCATATGGATGTAGTGCATGATGTGTAGCATTAGCTAAACAAACTCAGACACAGTTCTTATCTAATTATGCTATGTATGTGATGAATGGTTGGTTGATTTGGCTCTTGTGCCCACTCTGCATGTTGTTGCTTGAATCTGTTTTTGTGCATGATGATTAGCAACAGTGTTTGTACACTTCAATTTATCATAAGTGATATTGGACATATTGTTCCTCAAAATGATAAACATTCTTCATTGAATTTTTTAAAATGTCAAAGCTTCTTTATGAGGTGTTAACCTACATTTTTATGTATGCAGGCAATATGCAGATCTGTATTCTTAGTAGCAAATCTGCTTACAAAACAGAGAATTCTGCATAAATGCAAATACATTTCTAAGATGTCTCACACTCCTACAAAAGATATAGACACTAATTTATTTCAATAATGACTTCAAACCCAGTGTCCTACAAATGTAAGCAGAAAATATGATACAAGAAAATGGTCCAGATTATTTCACACAAGTTATATCTTAATCACAATTTCTGGTAAGTCAAAGAACCCCCACAGTAATAAGTGATATATATTTATGCATAAAGTTAGATCATTACCTATGACTTTGCTAACTTAAATACATATTTATGATAGGTAAACAACACAAACCAAACCATTATATAACATAGCATATGAATATACCTACTGTATATTCAGGTAATTTTCTACAATTTAATTACACATTTTTGTATTTAGTTACAAGCTCTAGATAAGCAAGGGGTTTCAATCTTTAAATTTCTAATCTGTACACCAGGCAAGTAATATATAATAAAAAACACTAGAAAATCACTATCCATATGTTAACTACACTATTTGAAAATTCAACACTCTTGTTTCTAGCTTACAAAAAGTTTCCATGCAATAATCTGTTCACTTTGAGTTTAAAATATACAAATGTAAAATTTTGAAGAATTAAAATGCATTTTGATATTTGAAGGAAAACATGACATAGTAATTATAGATATAAATTTAAACATGTAATACATGAAACAGTTAATCACAACACAATTTTAGAGAAAAAGAATGCTGTTGCAAGTAGCAGTCTTGAATTTACTAGTAAAAAAAAAACTAGCAATGAGTTGCTACTTAATTCAAAAGTTAAAGTCAAGGTTTAAGGGAGTAATTATTGACATAAAGAGGTTCTGGAAAACCAGAAGGACCAAAGAAGCTTTCTGTGCAAATACACTGAATATTTTAATGAACAAAAGAACAGACTTAGAGATCAGAAGTTTGTTTTTCATTGATCAACATGCAAGGACACTCAAACCTGTAACTAAAACCAAAACCATCACTTCTAGCACCATTAACTGATCACATCCTGCATCAACCCTTTATGTATCTTTATCAAACACATGCAGCCAATTCATAGTTTGACCTCATAATGGAAGGCTTCTTAAACATTATCACTTAGTTCTGCTGTTTGTGTAAAACAGATGGTGCCCATTTTACCATGAATACTCTGCCTA